TATATATATATATATATTTATATATTTATATTTATATATATTTATATATTTATATATTTATATTTATATATATTATAGTCACTCATATTTCTGTGTTTACATTAAATTAAGTATCGACGTATTCCACAAATTCATTTGGGAGTGTTGGCCACTCCGTGCTTCCCTTCGTTCCTCCCAGTGTAGAGATATAATGTCCTGTTTAAATCTGCTACACAAAAGTCACGTGGCATTCGTCCAACGTGTGTACTATCTATTCCAACCCATCGACGAAAGCTTCATACCATCCTCTTTATTCAATGGGTATCAAACACTCCTATACAATATCCTTATAGTGCAGCATCCCACTAAACGACCTCAGCTGCTCCGTAACGGCCGTGTCTTCCGAGCTTCGGCCCGTCCCCGAGATCAGCATCATCACCACATTATCACCCGCCATACAGAAGTAATACGACGAACACACATTAGTATCATCCCGAAAGAACTCCACCGGCGCAAACGAGTCCTTCCCAGCCACCCCCCCCAGAGCCTTAGTCCCCATTTGCTGCTCCAGGGTCGCTTTGTCCTTGCCCGTGCCGGTGGTGTGAGGTGCTGTGGCCTGGGTACGGGACCGGGGTGAGTTAATCCCAGCCGTCACGCTATTACTTCTGCGCCAGTCCATAGCCGAGGGAGCGTTCCCCAGAGCACTCACCACACCCGAGCCTCCAGTACTGGACACATTGGTGCCAGGCAGTATACCGGTGTTGACCTGGCTGGCCGATCCCATCACACCCTGGCCACGATACGCCGTGAGACGCGGGAAGCGCTCCATGAGGGTGATGATGGCGTTAGTTCGGTATTTGAGCGGCATCATCTGCGGGTACGAGAAGACTATGGGGTAGGCCGCCATGCCGGTGGGAGGGGTGGTTAGGGGAGATAGAGAGAACCCGGTAGTCACTATGGCGTGGGGGGTGGCGTGAGTCACGTAGATGAGTGAGAAGTTGAGGCAGTCTGTCTTCTTGATTAGCTTGTGGACGCTGGGGGGGGGGGGGGTAAAAGGGAGGGGGATTAGTTAGGAAGGATGTGTGGGTGTGTTGTAAACCCTAGAACCCTGGAACCCTAATGCCCCTGTAGTGGACCGGGAAGAGCAGCCAGGGCAATTCTGATATAGAAACTAGAGCCAAGCAATAAATTAGTGAGGGGTGACTATACGTAGCTAACTCCAATACGTATCTTTATGTTATATGAACGAGAAAACGTTAATTACAACAAATGGGACGGAGAGAATAAAGTGCGTAACATTCTCACACAGGACGAAAGGAAACGGAAGTGCACTCAACAACAAACAATCTTAGATACATAGGAGCACTCTACATACAGTGACATATACATAATAACACTCCACATACAAACAATCTTAGATACATAGGAGCACTCTGCATACAGTGACATATACATGATGACACTCCACATACAAAAATCTTAGAAACTTAGGAACACTCTATATACAGTGACATATGCATAACAACACTCCACATACTAACAATCTTAGATACATAGGAGCACTCTACATACAGTGACATACACATAAAAACACTCCACGTATAGTATCATATACATAGTAACACTCCACATACAGTATCATATGCATAGTAACACTCCACAAACAGTATCATATACATAATAACACTCCACATACAATATCCTATACATAATAGCACTCCACTTACAGTATCATATACATAGTAACACTCCACATACAGTATCATATACATAATAACACTCCACATACAGTATCATATACATAATAACACTCCACACGCAGTATCATATACACAATATCACTCCACATACACTATCATATACACAATATCACTCCACATACACTATCATATACACAATATCACTCCACATGCACTATCATATACACAATATCACTCCTTACAGTATCATATACATAATAACACTCCCCCTACAGTATCGTATAAAAAATAGCACTCCACATACAGGATCATATACATAAAAACACTCCACATACAGTATCATATACACAATAACACTCCACATACAGTATATATACATAATAACACTCCACATACAGTATATATGCACAATAACACTCCACATACAGAGCTAGATAGTCTCTTCGCCTCCTGGCTCTTATAGCGCGGAAGGATGAGTCATACAGCGCATGCGTGAGGTGGCGGCAGAAGTACAGCGTGTACTTGGCCACTAACGCTTCCCTTAACGTGTTGAACCACCCGTGCAGGTTACTCTGGGGGGCAAAGTAATGAGAAGAGTGTCATCAGTGGGTGTATATGTGCCATAATAAACAGCGTGTACTTGGCCGCTAACGCTTCTCCTAAGGTGTTAAACCATCCGTGCAGGTTAATCTGGGGGGCAAGGTAAACAGAGGAGTGTCATCAGTGGGTGTGTATGTGCTCGTAAGTAGTCAGGTAGGTATAGTATTCGAGCGAGACGAGATCGAAGGAGGTTAGTGGATGGGATGTATTATGTGTACCTGATTGGAGAGAAACATCAGACGTAGTGCAACAAAGTACTAAAACATTCCCCCCCTATACGATTGATCCCATGTATATATGAGTGCGTGTATATATAGTCGCTAGGACAGGTGTGTACTACGCAAGGATCGCCCGTACAAGACAACAAGCCACCAGGCAGACACGCATATGAAGTATATAACTCACTCATACATTTGAACTATATAACTCACTCATACATATGAACTATATAACTCACTCATACATATGAACTATATAACTCACTCATACATATGAACTATATAACTCACTCATACATATGAACTATATAACTCACTCATACATATGAACTATATAACTCACTCATACATATGAACTATATAACTCACTCATACATTTGAACTATATAACTCGCCTCATACACATGAACTATAGAACTCACTCATACATATGAACTATATAACTCACGCATACATATGAACTATATAACTCACTCACACATATGAACTATATAACTCACCTCATACATATGAACTATATAACTCACTCATACCTATGAACTATATAACTCACTCATACATATGAACTATAAACTCACTCATACACACTTCTGCAGTAAAGCCATCTCATCACTGCTCAGGGTACGTAGTTTACCATCACTTACACGCCAAGACTCAGACCATCGTATAATACACTCCCAACACACAGACCACCCAGCGCGCATATACCATCACTTCAGCCTTTAACTACTACCACTACCCGTACTACCTGAGAGGGATGGAGGTCGTATTTGGCTGCTTCGTTAAGAACTATAGTGGACTCCGGTAGTCGATACAGCTCGATGTGTATGTAGGCCCGGAGTAGTGCGCTGAGCAACCCAATGTCGCCTCGTGCGTCGGCCAGAATGAATATCGGGTCTAACTTCAGATTGTTGTGAATTGGGTCAATTACAAAAAATAACGGTTAGGGGTGGTACCAATTTGCCCTTTGAGTCTCATTTCGGATTGTTGGAAATTGGCTTAGTACCATGTGTGTGTATTTGTTCGTCTCTATCATGTGACTTACTGCATAGCAGACGCTATTCCCATCTCTCAGGTATCATACATATCATCTGAACCCCACTAGCATACTACCTAGCTCACCCCTATTACATGCGTGTGCACCATTGATGTGTTACAAACATCGCCCCTCACTCCACCGCAACAAGGTTAAGCACAAGACACGGCCCCTACCTCTGCCTCGGCATGCTCCGCTTCCGTTACCAGGTCCATGTTGCCTAGCAACTGCTCACACAAGCCTAAGCTTAGAGACGCCTGCCTGACTAGCAACGCGTACAGCATATGCACAATGGCACGTCTGAGATCGATGTAGAGTAGCAGAGATGATATCATCCTCTGATCAACGCGTTCTTCAACGCTTTCGTATGTTGGCGAACGCATTGTCGATTCGAGTTTTATCACGGCATCACGCAGCCGATCCAACTGACCGGCCATCTGTGGGTGGATGTAGTATGTGTGTGTACAGGCGATGTATAAGAAAGGGTCTAATGCTCTCTCTCTCCTTTGCTATGAGATAGGTAAGCACGCAGAGATACCTGTTTAATATATATAGGAATTTGGGGTTTCAG